ATAAATTTTTAATTCACATATTAAATAGATAATATTAACTATTATTAATTTTATATATAATTTTTTTTACATGATAAAAATTTTTTACCCATTTGAATAAAAATTAAATTATCTTCCGAAAAAATGAATTAATCACTCTTGTAATATAAAATTATAATCACATAAAATCATTAAATGATTACTAAATACTAAAATCTAACCATTCGGATCCTTACCTATAAAAGTATGTGAGGTGTATTGATGCCTTCGATGTGCAATTCCTTATAGTCTCAAATGTCAAGGACATGAACGCCCCCTCCTCTTTTATCACAAGTATGAACGACAACGGGATGCTTGTAGTGTTGTATTTATCAAACTTGGAAACACTTTGAAGAAGAGAATCATCCACACCCTCTCAATTTTGTCAGTTTTAAGTTTAACATGTCCGTTGTATCGTGTTATAGCCATCTTAATTTGAAGCTCGTGTGGTTTGGTTTACTTCTGGTTATTCAGTCTAAAATTTCCCCCAATTTGATAGACATCTGTCACGCTTTTGGGATAATCTTGCTTGTAACTTGTTTTATTTTGTGGAAATGAAAAGAGACCCAATTTTGTCTCTGTGATTCTTTTATTTTTAGTAAGAGTTGTGAAATTTTAGGCCAAGCTCCATTTGAACTAGGTGCAGTCATAAAACACAATCTCGGATGCATGGAGAGGATTCCCTTTCCCACCAATGAGTAAAGGTTGATATTTTTTTTTTTTTTTTTCTGCTTCGAAACCTTTCATTTTTATATGACTTTGGCTTTTCCTTAAACCTCCCTTTAAATGACAACCCAACAAAACAAAAATTGCGTTTCATTTGTTTCACAAGCCAATCTAAGGTGAGACAATCCTTTCTTTCTTTTTCTTTTTTTTCATGCATTGCAAAGGTCTTTAATGGTTTTTTGTTTTTAATTACTCTAGTGGGTTTTCTAAACTGTTTTAAGTGTACTTATATTAGATACAAATAATAGATAAATTATTTGATTTTTTTTATTTATTAAATAAATAAAACTTGCTTTTTCTTTTTAAGATTACTTAAGTTTTACCAAAATTTTTATTAAACCATAGATGAGATTTAATAAAAATGGTTCACCCATAAATGTTTTTAATTCTTTAGTTTGGTTTTTAAAATAAACAAAAAAATTGAAATTTCTAAGAAAAAAAATACTTCTTGTTGTATCATTCAACATAATTCGACGTCCTAATCAACATAGTTGAAAGAAACCTAACTTTGTTTTTAAAAAAAAAAAATCACATGATTTCATGTGTCGTTTTTGTAGACACCCAATTTGGTCCAGGCCCGGATCAATTGGGCCTGGCCCAAAGGGGTAAGTCCAATTGTATCTTGGTTATTATTATTTTAATTTTTATTTTATGTATATCCTATATATTTATTATTTACTTATTATTACTAATATATATTTTTTTATTTTTATCTTTTATTTTATTTATTTTCGTATTTTTATATATCTGATATTATTCTTTTTATTTATCCCATAATTTGTTTTTCCTAATTATCTAGTATTTTTTTTATTTGATTTTTGGAGGGTTAGGATTGAAAGTGGAAGAATCCCATTGAAAATGGGAATTCAATCAGAAGAGTCCAGTGAGATTCAAAGATTGAATTCCCGTCCAAGGAGGAATTGAGATTGATCAGGAACTCCTGATCAATCCCTATAAAAGGGACTCTGGAACAGAATGCAAGAGACAGAAAAAACAGTAAGCAAAGCTACTGATTTGAGAGAAAAGGAAGTGTATAGGAAGCTAAGAAAAGTTTAGGAGTGTTCTGGGAGGGAGAAAAAATTTTTAGCAATTTTTGGCGAAAAATTTTTCTGGAAATTTCTGGGAAATTTCCAGATTCCGACGAAATTTCCGACGAAATTTGAATTTTCCGGCAACAATTCCGGCGAACATTGAAGTTTCCGGCGACCAGCCCAGTTTCCGACGAAGATTCCCAGAAACCGGTGATATTCCGACCAACTTCCGGCGAAATTTTCAGATTTCGACGACATTTTCCAGAATCTGGCACCAGTGTTCTTCAGGTTTTAGAGAGAAGGGAGAGGAAAAGGGAAGAAGAGAGAGAGAGGAGAAGCGTTCTGCCGAAAAAACGAAGGGGATTGCCTTTTATACCCTCCCAAAACGACGTCGTTTTGGCTTTAAGTTAATCAGAGGATCCGCGCGTTTTGCCGAAACCCGACCCGACCCGATCGTCGACCCGATTCTGACCCGCCCGTGCTTGCCCCCTCCGAGCCGAGCCGAGCCGCGCCAAGCCGCCAAGCCGCTCCCCCCGAGCCGTTTTCTCTGCCTTGAGCCGAGCCGAGCCGAGCCGCGATCCGAGCCGCTCCAGGTTTTTTTTTTTTTCTTTCTTTGAATTTTTTTTCTTTGTTTATTTGTTTATTTTATTTTTTATTTATTAGATTAGGTTTATGTAATATTCTTTTTATTTATTTTTTATTATTTTATTTTCTTTAAATAAAAATAAAAAATTTCAAAAAAAAAATATTTTTAGGGAAAAGTTGAAAGTATCAATTTTCCTTAGAAATAAATTTTCAAAAAATATTTTTGGGGAAAAGTTGAAAGTATCAATTTTCTTCAGAAATAAATTTCCAAAAAATATTTTTAGGGAAAAGTTGAAAGTATCAATTTTCCTTAGAAATAAATTTCCAAAAAATACTTTTGGAAAAAAGTTGAAAGTATCAATTTTCCTCAGAAATAAATTTCAAAAAAAAATATTTTTAGGGAAAAGTTGAAAGTATCAATTTTCCTTAGAAATAATTTTCCAAAAAATATTTTTGAGGAAAAGTTGAAAGTATCAATTTTCCTCATAAATAAATTTCAAAAAAAATATTTTTAGGGAAAAGTTGAAAGTATCAATTTTCCTTAGAAATAAATTTTCAAAAAAAGAGTTTTTGAGGAAAAGTTGAAAGTATCAATTTTCCTTGAAAATCGAAATTTCCAAAAAAATATTTTTGGGAAAAAGTTGAAAGTATCAATTTTCCCTCAAAAAAAAATCATTCTTTCCTTCCTTTCTATCTTAATTTTGATTTTATTTCTTTTTCTTTAAATAATCCGACGACGGAGCCTCTGTAAGTGAAACAGTAGTTTTTCTTGCATACTCCTGAGGTGAGGGAATTTTCTCAAATTTTTGCTAAAAATATTAGAGTCAATTGAGAATAATTTTCAATAATTAACTACTTGGTAAAATTTTAAAGCTTTTGGATAACACAAATTCAAGCTGGTACCATCTTTTGATGGGCGTTGTGAGGGTGCTATAACCTTCCTCACACGTAACCGAACTTCCGAACCCTGTTCTGGTTAGCATACCTGAACCTATTCTTCTAGGGACCCTTAAACTTAGGTGTTCCCTGGAATGACAGATTCTTTAGGTGGTCAATCGCACCTAGACAAAAAAGATTGGTGGCGACTCCCTAAAAGTCAATGTCTAGCGATAGATCCCCGGATCTAGACGTACGACAGTTTTGCTAAAAAATATACAACAAAAAATTTTAGAAAAATAATTAAGTTTTGAGGATTAAATGGTTCCACAAATTGTGTCGGCATACGTCTTGAGAGCCATACAGCACCAAACGACGGTGGGCGTTGCATATTTAGCCAACCGACCTTTCTAACTTTTCCAAGCGGTTTCTAAGCTAATATATACACAATCGCTTTTGTACTATTGGGGTTCTTTGCTACATGATATTTCGCTGTCTGAAATATGCCGTTTTAGAATCGACCCTTTAATTGAAGGACGAGTAACTAATCAGACGAATACTTATCTCCATTAACAATGAAAACTAGTAATACATGCTGTACAAATTTCATGATATTTCTGGTTGTTCACTGCAACACAACCATGGATGAACAAGTTTCTTTAAAGCAAAAACTGAACTCGCCATTGAGCAGTTGTACTTGTTCATATCCTACTAGAAAAATGCTTTGCTATCCCAACGTGCTTGAAGATGAACATTGCTTAGAGAAGTCCTCTTCTATCTACCAGCTTCTAGGAATTTATGTAGCACATTGCCTGTGCTTGAAGGAAATAAGAATCCCTTGTATTTCCTGCCATTCCCGATGTGAATCCCATTGCGTATCCAGTATTACCTTCACTATCCCATATCTTCACTATCTCAGTTGAGATAACACAAGAAGCAATTTGTGTAAAGGCTGTTAACTGAACTATAGAGCATTGGCCAAAAAAGAAACATGGAGCACTACCCATATAAAGTGCAAAGTAGACAGCATCTTACTGCACGCATAATAAAATTAATATTAGCTTCACTATCTCATTCATTAACAATAGTATACATACGAGTGATCTAACCTCCAATCTCACATCATAAAAAGAAAAAGTCCACTTGATACAGATTATGCATTTTCTAACAAGCTGGAACAAAAAGATTAAAACTCGGTCAATGGCAGACTTACCTCAACAGTATCAATGGCTTCATTTGAAGGAATGCATGTAAGACTCTGCAAGTATATAAAAGAAGAGATAAAGATGATTTGGGTGCTGGAATCTCCTTCGGGAACTAAATTAGTACCACTGCATTTTTAATAGCACTAAGAAAAAGTCTATTATTCCGGAGACCAGTAAAAAATGGATGTCAATATGTTTCTTTTAAGTTACTCCACTAATCAAGGTAATAGATAATAAAGAAAGATGATTTGGATTAGAGCATTTGACCTAACCCAGGTTAGTGCTCTTCCAGCCAGATGCTTTACAATGTAGCCTTCAAATAAGCAGGTAAACACACCTACTTTTATAGGTAAGGATCCGAATAGTTAGCTAGAATGCTGAATTTCCAAAATAGACATTTTTTTTATTATTATTCAACATGTCTTTGTAGAATATCTTAACTGTCTATAATGTTAGCGAGAATCATATATGCTTTAAGTAGGAGGATAACAAATAGGGGAAGAGAGAGAGAGAGAGAGAGACAGAAACCAACCTCTCCTCCACAGCAGCAATTAACCCACCAGTTAAAGCCACTCCACCAATCTGAAGCACAAAACCAAGTTAAAACTTCAATTATTAAAAGATAAAAGCGTCTCATGAAGTCATGTGGTCTATACTTCTAAGAAACTCACCAATTATATCAATATTTTCATTAAAATATTTATTCAATGGTAAAAATTTTATCCATATTTTCATTTAATTGTCTATTTAAAAAAACCATAATTTTATTAAAAAATTTTTCTAAAATTTTCATATTATTTATGTAATGAGACTTTTTTACTTACTGGTTTTGATTTTTTATTTTAATTTTTATTTAATTGTTTTTTAAGCAAAGAATTTTATAAATTTTACCCAAAAAATTTTATGTAAATCGTTTTCTATGTAAGATCAAATGATTAGTAATTGGTGGTTTCTTCAGGTAAGAGATCAAACTCAACCAAAATAAACTCAAAGTTGGGGAAATCTAATTTAGAGTACTACATTAATTTGATTAATGTTAATTTAATACCCTAAATATTGTCTTCAGCAATATTTTTTACATGTACTGCATCACAATTAATTCACAAACTCATTAAAAATCCAGGAACCCTTTCTGTATAAGAAAAAAAAAGAAAAATATTGATTGAAGAAAGCTATAGTATGTTGATAATGTTTTTGGTGAGTGTGACTCGGAGCTCAACTGAAAAGTGATTTAAAGGTGAGAGAGATATGCGGGAGTAGAGCACGGTTAAGAGGCGCCGAAAATAAGAAGTGCTTTCCTTACCTTCAGATCACCTATACGTCACACTCATAAAAAAATATCATCAACAAGTTTCATTAAAATGAAGGAAGCAAGCCATAGTAGTTGGAGATTGGAAACCCATTTCGACTGAAGTACAAAGAATTTTCAACCACTCTGACAAGAGAAGCACACCTCTAAAAAGAATCAAGCAAAAATAGAAAAGATCAACAAAAGCTAAAAGCAATTGACCAGAAATCCTAGTGAAACAGTGTAACCTTTTATGTATTAAATAGATGATCTAAAATTAATTAATAGAAAATCTTAATCAAATATAAGGTCATTCTCAGCATTCTCAGCATAAACTCCTATGATCTAAAATTAATTAATCAAAAATCTTAATCAAACACTACTCAACATTCTCAGCAAAAACTCCCATGCTAGGGCTTAAGCTTTCCAGAATCACCTTTTAAACCGTGAAACAATGCCAATTTAGAACCTCAAATATTCTCCTCCCAATAAAAGAAACACTTCCCCTACTGAATTAAGCGTTAGGCCAAAGAAATAATGACAATAATTTATAAACTCAGAGGAGACAAATGTAGGGTAGATTTGACAATCTACATTTCAAAAACCTTAAATTATAAAGCAAGAATCAAATGCACTAAAACTTAAGAATTCAGATTTATAGTTTGTTTATTCTATAGAAAATCTTTGGCTGAAAAGTCGGGAAAATACCTTTGTTATGGACCCAAAATCTGTACTCTTCTAATAGTAGCCTTGACTCTGCAAGAAAAATTGTAAACCTTTAAATGAAGCTACCTTAGAGAAATTAGATAACTTACAAGTATTTACAAGGAAAGTTACCATATTAAAGGTAGAGATTATGAACTTCACAAGCAAAATTAAAGAGTTAACACGTTTGCTATTCAGGTGCATTTATGAAAATTAAGAAATAAATAAATTATTAAATGTACATCACAACTATTAAATTCCACTTTTGAAGTTTAAGAATTTCACTCTTGGTCTATAATATAACAATGCTATTTCCAATAAACTAAAACTATATATTGATAAGATAAACAAAACTCATTGCTTACCATATTACACGTGCTTGATGTTGTTCAAAAAATTCCTTTTGATTTTCTTAAGAATGGAAACAACATCCTTTATATCTTTTCTTTTCTCTGGTAACTCAACTGAACAGTCTAAAGCTAATTTCATAATGGATGATATACAATCAGCGTTAGCTATAAAATGTTCTTTCTCTTCTTGCAGCAAACTTAAATCCACAACATCAATTGTTCCATTAGATAGTAAATCTTCCATCCAACGAATCATAGTCATTTCTCCAGTGAAAAACTCATCTGTGGGCTTCTTTCTTGTGAAAGTTTCCATCAATAAAATACCATAACTATAAACATCACTTTTTGTGGAAACAATTCCTGTTGATCCATATTCTGCATTTTAAATATAATTAAATTATTAAAATGACATAATATGCTACATATTGTCATGCCATTAACATAAAAAATTTACAGAAAATGCAATTACAAATGTAGAAATAGAATTTTGAAAAAAAAAAAAAAAAAAAGTCATCACCTGGTGCCATATATCCTATAGTGGCAAGTGTCATGGTTTGTTTCACAGACTCTGCTTCTCCTAATAGTTTGGCAATGCCAAAATCTCCCACATGTGCAACCAAATCATTGTCTAGTAAGATATTACTAGGTTTTAGGTCACAATGAATTATTGGATTTGGATGTCCCAAATGGAGGTATTCTAGTGCAGATGCAACATCTATCATTATGTTGATTCTTTGTAGGATATCCAAGAAATAATGGTCAGAGTATAACCATTTCTCGAGACTCCCATTAGGCATGAATTCAAATACTAAAGCTTTGAAATCAATGCAAGAACAACCACTAATGATCTTGACAAGATTACGATGAAGTATATTTTGCATGACTTCACATTCAACATCAAAACTCCTAAAGGCTCCCTCTAACTGCAAATTAAAAACTTTTACCGCAACATTCCGCCCGTTTGAAAGTCTTCCTTTATACACACAGCCAAAACTTCCAGAACCAAGTAAGTTACCTTCATTAAATCCATCTGTCGCTTGTAGAAGTCTGTTGTACATATTTCTATTCTGTATTTCTAGAATTGTTGAATCTTCTTTAATTGACAGAGAATTCATACTATTCTGGCATCTTTTTAAGATAATAATGAAGGTAACTACCAATATTAATAAAGCACTTGGTGGCAAAGCATATGTCAAAACATGCACAAGGGTCCTCTTGGATTGTCGATGGCTGCTATTTTTGCAGGGAGGTACTCCAAATCGAGGTGAACCACAAAGTGCATAATTGTTCATGAATGATTTTGCTGTGAAGCTTGTAAAGGATCCTTCAGTGGGGATTTCGCCTTCCAACCTGTTGAAAGCCACGTTAAAATAACTGAGAGAGGAGAGTTTTTCCAAAGACTCTGGAATCATTCGAGAGAAATTGTTATTAGCTAAATCCAAGGTTTGCAAACTTGTCAAGTCACCTAATGATGTAGGAATAGAACCTTGTAGTCTATTATTTGACAAAGACAAAGTTTGTAGATCATTTAAACCCCCAATTGTTGCTGGAATATCACTTGATAATAGATTCCTTCATAAATTCAAATATGTTAGCACCTTCAAATTCCCAATATTCTGTGAAAGTGAACCATTAAGGTAATTTGAAGAGAAATCTACTTTCAAGATATATTTAAGGCTCCAAAAGGTGAAGGGTATTGTTGAATACAATTTGTTGGAGGACAAGTTTAGAGATCTTAGAGCAGTCAAATCACCCAAACATGGGAGTATCGGTCCTTCAAGCATATTGCCACTCAATGACAATTCACTCAGTTTCTCCAAACGACAAAAATTGTCTGGAATGGAGCCTTGTAATTTATTATCATCAAGATACAAACCTTGGATATTTCGTAGCCTTCCTATTGTTGTTGGAATTGATCCACTCAATTCGTTTTGAGAAAGACTTAAACGTACAATATTGTTTAAGCCACCAATTTCCATAGGAATACTACCTTCAATTTTGCAGTCATTGGCATTGAAGTCTTCAAGTGATGAGAGATTTGAGATAGAAGTTGGAAGAACGCCTTTCAATGGATTGGAAAATATCCATAAGATCCTTAGATTCCTGCAGTTTACTAATGAAGAAAGAAAGCTCCATTCATTAGTTCGGCTTTTGGTGGTCAAATGGTTTTCCGAAAGCCTTAAAACCTCAAGCAGAGTCAAATTGCCTAATGTGTTTGGAATAAAGCCAGAGAACGAGTTTTGTTCCAATTCTAAAACTCTGAGCTTAGAAGCATTAGATATATAATCAGGAATATTTCCACTGAGATTATTATTCCATAGATAAAGCCCCGCAAGATTTGAAGCCAAGCTCGTGGATGGTAATTTGCCTAAAATGAAAAAAATTTGTAATCAGAATTTTAGCTTACGTATATTATAGTAATTAAGGAAGCGTGATGAAGTTTTTGAACATTAATTGTAAATCCCAAATTTAACTTATGCATGTATTTATCTATAATTTATAACTTGTGCATGTAGTGGGTGTGTGCATATGAATATAATCACTGTTTTATACTCCAAAAATAAATTATGTTTAAAAAACCAATTAAATGTTGTTGAGCATATTACCTGACAGACTATTGTTTAACAGTGAAATTATTTTCAATGAAGAAATGTTGAAGATGGAAGATGGAATTAGCCCTCTTAGCTGTAAATCTGATGCAGAAAATATCTCCAATGTAATAAGATTCCCAATCTCCCATGGAATTTCACCTGCAAACGTTGGAAACAAACATTAAACCCAAGGAAACATCCTCGTACTAATAAAGTTATATATTTATTAGCCAATAGTAGGGTGGGCAAAATCACCCGAACCCGTCGGGTTTTAACCCGACCCGACCCTTTAGGATCGGTTTTTTTTTTTTTTGAAAATCGGATATCGGGTTGGGTGGGGTAAAAAAATTTCGGGTTCGGGTCGGGGTCGGGTTTTGAGCAAACCCGACCCGATATATATAAAAAAATTATTTTTTAAATTTTATATTTAATTTTATATATTTTTATATATATTTAATTTTATATTTATATTTAAAATAATATTTTATTAATTTCGGGTCGGGTCGGGTCGGATTTGATTTTATACAATGTCGAGTCGGGTTCGGTTATTAAAAATGAAAAAATTATCGGGTCAGGTACGGGTTCGGATATTGCATATTTAAAATCGGGTCGGGTTCGGGGCGAGCAAAAACCCGCCCCGCCCCGACCTGTTGCCATCACTAGCCAATAGCCACTAATTGATTCACAGAGTGTTAGACTCTTAATTTTAATGACTATAATTTAAATCTTAACAGCTTCAAATATATATATATATTAAGCTATAAATCTAGTTTGTTAATAATGCAATGATAATATAGAACTATTTGCAATCAAAATCACCTTTCACAAGGAAAATCTATGTTTGTGGAGGAAGTTTTAGATTATAAAGGAATAATACATATAGAAAAGGAATGCTGAAAACCAAATAAAAAATATGGCTAAAATAAAAAAAAAAAATCAAATGTAGAACTTTACCTTCTAAATCATTGTGACTTAGATACATATGCTTGAGCCTAGTTAAATTTCCCATATTTGTTGGAATAAGCCCAGTAAATCGATTACCATATATTGATACACTTCGAAGACTGCTGCATTCACCAATTTTTGAGGGAATATGACCAGAAATACCATTGTAAGTTAAATCAAGGACTTCAAGTTTGTGAAGATGGGAACACATGTTATCAGGAAGACTACCAGACAAACTGTTGTTGTACAAAAAAACTGTCTTCAAAGAAGAAATGTTGAAAATAGAAGCTGGAATTTGACCATTGAGGCTCATGTTCTCCACAACAAATGTTTCCAAAGAGAGAAGATTACCCACTTCCCAAGGGATCACACCTACAAATTTAGTAAAAACCAAGCACTTGAAAGACCTCATTAATATATAAAAACTATTTTATTAATATTTCAATTCATAAATCACAAAGAGAACTAGTTGCTTCTTGTTCTATGCAATTATAATGTAAATTAATTAAATTTAATTAAAAATTATGTAAAAAAACCTATATAAATATTTATTTATTTATTCTCGTTAAAGAAAAGAAAAATGAAGCTATATCATCATTAGCATAAATTAGAGGATAGGTTTAGGGTTTAGGGCTACATATATATATATATATATATGTTATTTGCTATTTCTTCTCAAAGAGTTAATATAAAACAAATTGTAAAAAGAAATATAATAATTATTAAAATTCTAATTTCAATTCGAATATAACATGTATAACAGTAAAATTATAATTTTTTATGTTAAAAAAATTATAACCTTAATTATTTTTATTATTCAGATTATTATTTGTTTTAATATTCAATATATAATTCCAATTCGGATGTAATTACAATTAACCCATGTAAATTAATTAAATACTTTTCTTTTAAATAAAATATATATTTAAATTGTAAGAAAAAAACAACAAGAGTGCAAAAAAAAAAAAAAAACCATTAAAAAGAGTAAAAACTAAACCAGATAATATGAGATTATAAAAATAAAAAACCATAGGAAGTAGCTTTACCTTCTAAGTCCTTTTTCACCCAAATAGACTGTTTTGAGCTTGGTCAAGTTTCCAATACTTGTAGGAATGAACCCACTGAATTGATTAGAGGATAATATTAATTCTTGAAGATTGCTACATTCACCTATATTTGAGGAAAAAGGACCAGAAAATTCATTGAGGTATATGTTAAGCAATTCAAGTTTTTGAAGATGTTGACACATATCATTTGAAATACCACCAGATAAACTATTGTTTATGAGATAAATTTCTTTCAAAGAAGAAATGTTGAAGATGGAAGCTGGAATTGGACCAGTAATGAGCCATGCATCTTGTACGGATAACGTCTCCAAAGCAAGAAGATTACCAATCTCCCAAGGGATTTCACCTACAAACATAATAAAACCAAGTTTTAAGATGATCTTTTGTATCATTAAAGCTTTTTTACTAACCATTACAATTTATAATGAAACTATTTGCCCCAAATTTATGAAATTATAAACAAAACTAATTAAAATCATAGGAGAGAGAAAGAAAGAAGAAAACAACCCCAATGATTTAGAGCTTGTTTGGATGAGGTTTTTCTGTTTGGTGAGGTGCAGAACCGCACCAATATATAGGCTATTTCACAAATCAAATATCAGAACAATTGAAACATTTTAAATGCACTGAAGACAAAAGAATCCAGTCAGAATTTTTTTTATCTCCGTCAAATGTCACCTTCTTAGAAATGTCTCAGCTTTGGATCCATATCATTTACAATTTTCTTCCTTACAATATTATAATTAGTCAATTACATTCAAGAATTATGTAAAAATTCATTGCTTAAAAGTGTGAGCTCTACATAATTTTTTTAATAGGACCCACGCAATACTTAATTATGATTAGTTAATTATAAATATAATAATTTTAAATACGATATGATGACACAATACAAAAATAATACAAAAAAATCATATATAAATTTAGTATAATCATGTTTCGTACACGATTAAGATACAAATGTTTAACATGAACACGACAGGAATAATATTGTGCCTTAATCGTGTTGAAATGATTAAGATACGAGATTATTCGTATTGTATTTATGTCAAATAATAATTATACACTTAAGACACAATATTGTTCATAACATAAAAAATTTTAAATTATTTTAATTTATTTAAAAAATAAATTAATAATTATATTTATCATATCATTTTGGTGTTTAAATAGATTATAAATATTCAATTTTAAAATTTTTTTATTTAAATACCTAGTTTATATGAATTTTTTGTTTAAATTAAATAGATTAATAATGTCTAATCCATGCTATTCGCAAATAATTGTTGTTAATCATACATCATATTATTTGAATAATTAATTATATTAATCGTGATATTTTTATATAATTGTAATTAACCGTGTCGTGTTATTTTAAGGTAATAATTATTTTAAATGTATTAATCGATCATGTCACATATAAACATGTATAATAAAATATGTTGTGTTTGTGTTTAAATTGTTTTATCGTCATTTAGTATTCATGTCTGTTCGTGTCAAGATTATTCGTGTCGTATCTAAAATCATGTTTAACACAAAACATAATAACATGAATTATCAAATCTAATTAATTGCACTACAGGAATTATAGATATGCTCCCTTTCTCTTTTTTTTTCTCTAATTTTTTTACCATTAGAGATACAACGCAAGGACAAAAATGTCCCTATCACTTAGCATTTTTTATTTTTTATTTAAAATTATTTAAATGACTAAAGTAATTTAACATAAATAAAATTTATATTTATGTAATAAACTATTTAACAACTAAATAATGTTTTTGGTCAAAACAAGTAAATAACTAAAACTTGAATAAGTACGTAAATAATAAATTCTATAATCAAACAAATTATTAATAGATTAAGAAAAATATATATCTTTGAAATTAATGAGTAAAGTAATATAGATAACAACATAAATAATAATAAATAAATATGATTTATTTTTATATGAGTAAATGTATTGTTATCTTTTTAATAAATTATTGTTATTTTCATATAAAAATTATCATATAATAAATAAATAAATGCAAAAATAATAAACACTTTAATATTATTTTGTTAAGTTTCAATTTGTTTAATAATATTCTTATCAATTTTTTAAAGATTTTTTATATAGTATTATCATTTTCATTAATTTTCTTTTTTTTATGAACAAAACTATTAATTGATATATAAATATTTTAATAATTTATTAATTTCATAAATGTGAAGTATATTAAAATTTTCATCATATGTAAATTTTAATCTAATATGTTTAATAATCATTTTCTCTTTTTTTTACAATTTACATCATTGTTATAGTTGTTTGCATCCAAACATATATATTATCATTAATTTTAATTTTATCGTTACAATATCAAATCTTACCTACAATAATTAATCTTACCACGATTATTATTTTCAATCTTATCGTCCATCTAAATAGATCATTCCTACAAGGCAACTCCATATTTAAGAGGGTTTAGATAAATTTTTAAAGCTTATTGGGAAGGGTTGCAAGACAAAAAATGGTGGTTTTAAATTTTAGCTTTAGATTCTTTATATATATACATATTATAAATAGATATATATATATATATAAAGCTTAACTTGCTAGTACTATCCGATTCATTAATTATCGTATATACGTAAAAAATATAATGTCTTGGCCAAAAAAGGATAGCATATGTATAAAAAATAATATTATATAATATTTTTTAAATTAAGTAAATATATTTAAAAAGTAATAATATTTAAAATTTAAAAATTTTTAATTGATACTTAAATTATAAATTTATTAATAATATGATATTTAAATGATTATTTGTCACTCATGTGTTACATTGAAAGCTAAAGATTTTAATAATAAGTATTATATCAGTTAATAAATTATTTTTTATGTATCACATTAAAAATTTTTTAAATTTTAAATATTATATTAAATATTTTTATTAAATTAAAAAATCATTCGTAACATTAACTCTACGTGTAAAAATAGAATTAGATATTTATATTTTAAAAATTTTTATGTAGAAACGAAAAAAAAAAAGCTCAAAAGTAGAAAATGAAACAAACTCAAAGCTTAAGCTAGTTGTTACATACAACAGACTGCAAAAAAGATGATATTTAATAACTTTGGAATTAAATCCCACTATCCAACACTTGCAATCATTTTTTATCTCAAAATTACATTTTTTTTAATTTAAAAAAAACCATGTATAGCAAGCAAAACCCAGAAGCTTTTTAGAGGGTTTTTCCTCCATAGCAGGCTAGTGACTCTCTCCGACTCCATCCACAAACCCACTCTCCATGTTACAGATTAGTTGGATAGTTTATCCCGTCGAATTTTTAGTCTTTTATGGACAAAATTAGGCTCTATATAGTAAAAATATAGTAAATATGATTTAATTCGCACGTACTAAAAAAATCTGTTGAGTTAGAAATTTTAGAGTTAAAAATGAAAAAAAAGAGCAGACAAATATAAGCTTAAAAATCAAGCTTAGAATCTTACCTTGGAAACTATTTCCACCCAGATATACAACTTTAAGTGTAGTTAAATTTCCAAACCATACAGGAATCTCTCCATTAAAAGAGTTTTGACTCAGATCAATGAGTTTCAAGCGATGCAACTTGGCCATCTCTTTGGGTAGATAGCCATGCAAATTATTGCCACTCAAGTTAAGTGAGACCAGGAAAGAGAGATTTCCTAAATGTGGAGCGATAGTTCCAGTAAGATCCATGTCTGAAAGATCCAAGACGGTGACTCTTCCATGGTGGCGAGCACCGCAAGAAACACCGATCCAATGGCAGACTGAGCTATTGGTGGACCAATTGCTGTCCAGAAAATTGTGAGGATCAATGATTTGGTCTTTGATTTCAAGAAGCGCAGACTGATCATTGGTGAGATTAGTCACAGTCTTACTCCTGGCAAAGCCAACCATGAAGCAATGCATGATCAGCAACATCGAAAGAAGATGGAATTTGATTTTGTCCATCATTTTTCAAGCAAATAGAAGGAGCAAAGAAATTTAAAATTGCTGGAATGGTAGGATCGATGATTAAAAATGCAAGTCATATATAAAACATTGTTTAAATAAGCTTTTCCAAATTCCCCCTTCAAAGGGACCCATTGGAATTACAGCTCATCAGCACCCAAAAAAATCTCTAAGCATATGGTATTCATTTCACTGGCAAAAAAGATCCCAAGTCTTCCAGGATAAAGACAAACGTCAATATGATATTGACTACTGAAACGGAGACCCAAACGGTGGAGTGACAAAAAAAATTTAGCACTTACCCAACGTTAGTGACAGAAACCATACTTTTCAAAGATGCCCGCTAAAATAAAATAATAATAATAATAATAACTCTAAAAAAGTAAGTGATAATTAACTCAAATAAATCGATTGAATTTTAAAATAAAGAATTGGTCACCGTTAGATTTTTAAAGGTTTAATGTGATATTTAAATTTTAAAAATTTTTAAGTTGATATTTAAATTATAAATAAATTAATTAAAATAAGAATTATTTTTAATATAATAAATTTTAAATAATAATATGTTATGGATAAATAATTTTTTAAATATATATATTAATTAATAAGTTTATTTAAAATTTATGTATTATATTAAATATTTTATTATAATTTATAAGTTATTTATGATATTAATGCAATTAAAAAATATGTATTTATAATTAAAAACTAAAATATTCGTTTCCAACAGTATAAAACGAATTGGTCCTAAACTTTTGTAATTACTTATTCATATTAAAAAATTCAGTTATAAGGTGTAATTAATATTTTTTTACACCTTTTTTACATAATACTATTTCTTTTTCTTCACACAATGAAATTTATAATTGCTATAGATGCCCACCATCTTTTATACAAAATTTACAAATTAATTGATGGTAAAAAAGCCTTGGTAGTATAAAATTTTACTTACATATTGTTGATCTATATTATATGTTTTTGCTGAGCTAGCAGTAGCTTTTAATTTTGTGCATCCATTGTGATCTACTTAGAAATCATTTCCTAACGACATATCGGAAATTTATGCAATTTTGAGTGGAAGCCTAATCCTCTGATGTTGGTTGTGTTAAGCGAGTCCAAATCCAAGAGGGGTCCAGTGGACTTGTCCGAGTGTTAATGGCTAGAAATTCAATGATGACGGTTCAGCTAGGGCAAGCCTGGTCTGCTGCGTGTGGAAGGGTTTTAACAGATTCGAAGGGGAATATTCATGGTCTCTTCTACGGTCTGCTTGGTGAAAATTTTGTTCATTCAAAGAAGATAGTGCCCTACATTAAAAGGAAGAGAGAAGATTGAAGTTCAAACCTTAATTTTTATATTTTCTTTAAGATTATCTTGATGACTAACTAAGCAACTAAAGACGGTGTGCTTGATGAAAAATGTAACTGAAATATTGGCTATAAAAACGACACTTAGAGATAGTTTCTAGTTTCCCTTGGTTTAAAAAGAATGCTTTTATTGTCTAACTAGATTTGTATGTGTTCATTAGTTGCGTGTGTAATTGGTAAGCTCGGCCTTGGAAACAATGGACGATCTTCGAGGCAATTGATAGGGGTACAACAGTAAATTTAATTTTTTTGACTTTCTAGATCATTGAATAATAATTATTAGATATAAAAAATTAATATAAATTATTAATTTTTTTAATTGTAAAATAATTAATTATTTATTAATCTGTTAATTAATTTTAATTAATTACATTAAATATTATTTATTAAATAAAATAAATGAAATTTTTAACAAATAAATACAATCTATTTAAAAATTTTAAAAAAAAAGGACAAGATAATATAATATTAAAAAAATTTTAATTGAAAATTAGTTAGCGTAAAAAAGTGAAAATTAACGTAAAATTGATATCATTTGGTATAAAATATGTTACAAGTGTTATAATACCTTAAAAGAAAGTTATGATAATTTTAAATATAATGAAAGTAAAAACAAGCGTAAAAAGATATTATTATAATGTAAATAATTAAATTGACAATGTAAAAGAATTATTATCTTAAATCCAAAAAATCATTATAAACCAATAAATAAATATTAACGTAAAAATATGAGAATAATCATAAAATTAATATCATTTAAAGTAAAATGAGTTAACAGTATCATAACACCCTAACAAAAAGCTATTATAGTTATAAACATAATGAAAGTAATAACAGGTATAAAAAAATATTATTGTAACAAAATTAATTAAGTTAGTAATGTAAAAGAAATATTATTATAAATAAAAAAATAATTTTAAACCAAAAAATAAAAGTTAATGTAATAAAGTGAGAATAATCATAAATTAATATTATTTAATATAAAATAGTTACAAGTATCATTACACCTTAATAAAATATTGTGATAATTCTAAACGTAATTAAAAGTAACAAGTGTAAAAAAGAAAATTATTTAAACGTTATCATAACAAACAGATCCATGGACCTACTGTTAGATATGGATTAGAGAAGTCGCCACCAATCTTTTTTGTTAAAATATGATTGGCCACCTGATTGAATAAGATCTATGGAACCAGATTTAGGTTCAAGAATATTGTTATGCATGAAGAAGGTTATAACACTCTCATAGCATCTATCCAAAAATGATACCAGTTTAATTTCAAATTATCCAAGCCTTAAAAAATGTTTATGCTTTTACTAAAATATTAAATATTGAAAATTAGTCTTAAAATTACCCAAATAGTTTGATAGCAATTGAAGATAATTCTCTTACATCATAAGTATTCATGGAGACTAGTATTCTACCTTGAAGAGGCTTTATCATCAGATTTATTAATGTATTTTATTCAAAAAAATTAGTAAGTCTCCCAATAGTTTGGTAGGACTTACCTTGAGGCAGATCTCTTAATAATTTGATGAGATTTTATTGTAAAAAAACATTTGCAAAAATTTTATTTTATTTTTTTAAAATGTTCATTAAATCTCTCAATAGTAAGGCTTAATTTAAAAGCAATCTTTTAATCATTTGAAAGATAAAAATTATTTTTCTCATTTTTGAAATCTATTTATGAAATTTTTCAATAGTTTGGTGGATTTAATAAAAATTAAATTCATGAAAATTCTTCAATAGTTTGGTATGATTTATGAACTTATTTGAAAAAGTTTTTTTTTATTTTTCTTTATATTATTTTTTTGTTGTTTTCTAGAAATAAAATTATTTTTGCTAAATATTTAACAAATGATAAGTTATAAAATAAAATATAAAATCAAAATATAAAAATAAAATAAATAGAAATAAAATTTTAAAAAATAAAAATAAAATAGAAAAAAAACTTGTGATCGAGTTAGGTTGGAGCGTGGGTCAACATGCAGATTCTATTTGGGTTACACGCGAGTCTGGGTAAACAAAAACGGTATCATTTTGAGATGGGTGTCGTTTTGAGATGGGTATAAAAGCCAAGTTCCCATGTTTTTCTTTAGAAGCCTAGTCTCTTCTCTTTCTAACCTCCAAAAGTTCTGATCCCTCTTTAAAAAAACTAAGAATGTTCAATCGAAAATTAAAAAAATCCATGGGTTTCTAAAAAAATGGTCAAAATTTGACCAAAAAACCCAAACTTCGTTGAGAAATTCAACCATAAACTTCAAACATTCATTCCAGAACCTAGATTTTTCAGAAAACCAAAAAATTTTCAGATTTTTCTCAAATCTTGAAAATTTTTCTAGAAATCTAAATCCTCAAGCCTTAATACTCCAAATCAAAAACCAGAAACCCAAACTAGAATTTCAAATAAAAAAATCCAAAAACCAAAATTTCAAAAAATCAATACCAAAAAGAATTCTCCAGAATTCCAAACACAAATTTCTCACCAAAATCGATCATGTTCTGTTCTCTATAATATTGTCTAATTTATAGGTAGTCCATAGTAGGGATTTTAGGGATCGGATAAAATCATTCTAGGCTTAAATCCCGGAATTGATTCTACCCAAGCAAGATTTTAGGCTAGGTTTGAGCAATCTGTCTAGATTAAATCCAAACCCCCTGATTATGGAATAGAACCTTTAACTATCTAGATTAAATTCAGATTTCAATTTTTTAAATCTACGATCGCAGATTAAAAGAAATGAAAGAAGAAAAAATAATAATAATAAAAAATAATAATATAATAATATAATATAGTTAGTATAATATAATATAATAAATATGATATAATAATGATATAACATGATATAATAAGATATAATAACCATAATATAGTATCTTACAATATATTATAATATAATATACTATATAATAATACATTATAATATACTATATAAAACAAGACCATAATAATATACTATAATAAAAAAAAATCAATGGTTAACCCTGGATATAGATGGTTATTTATAGTTGCCCCTCTTTGCACCTCTCTGTTAGATAGGGATGATGCAATGACCTGGACATCTACTCTATTCCTATCTAAAAATAAGAGTTAAATCAATGAGTGATAATAACAAGAATTAAATTATGAGTCAGATGGATGATCTAGACTGACTGAGATTAAATGACTAGATTGAACTGTAAGTCAAAAAAATGATCTAGACGGAGTGAAAATCAAACAACCGGGATATAACCATGAGTATGGATAAACTGACCTAAGCTGAGTCGAGATCGAACGACCTAAATTGAATCATAAGTCTGAAAAAATTAACCTGGACAGAGTTGAGGTTGAATGACCAAGATTGAATCGCAAGTCTTGATAACCAACCTAAATTGAGTTAAGATCAGATGACCAGATTGAACTGCAAGTCTAGATAATTGACCTGAAACGAGTTGAAGTCAGATGATCAAGATTGAGTAATAAGTCTGGAAAAACTAACCTAGATCAAGTCGAGGTTGAACGACCAAGATTGAATCGTGAGTTGGATAACTGACCTGAACTGAGTCAAGATCAGATGATCGGGATTGAATCGTAAGTCACAAAGATGATCTGGATTGAGCTGAGATCAAAATGAGTGATGAATAATAACGTAATGATGCAAGTACATGCTCTATCTATGATGCAAATGAAACATTAATT